CCCTGGCTCTGGCAGATTCCCCCGAATCAAATTTCGTGTTAAACACTGCCGCAGCATGGTTTTTCTAATCCTGCTAGAGGTTGCTTCAGTCAACCTTCCCCTTCCTAATTATGAGCTAAACCTGCCATTTCATTGTGTGTTGCTGTTAGTATTACAAGTATTTGTGTACAAGTGCAACAATGAATCGGCGCTGACCCCCGCAACCGGCCAAGTAAGTGTCACTTTTTCTTAAAATACTTGAAGTAGATCCATTCCTAAATCAAAATTATGGGTTATAATGTTATGCAAGATTATAAACTTTTTCGGCATAACTATGAAATTTCGAATTGTTTCGACATAAGCTAAAAACTAAGAAGGTGGGCCAATTTTCAAAGCTTCTTAGTTTCTTTGTTTGTGATCGAATAGCTTCCAAATTTCGCCATAATGATACCTATATGCTCACAAGTAATAAACAATAGCTAGAAGAAAAATTTCTCCACGGGGAAAAATTCAGGTCCGAAAGGGTTAAACGAAAACAACATGAGATATAGCCATAGTATAACAGCTGTGACATGCACATCCTAGAGAACTATGGCGTTCATACAGTAATAGAGAATGTTAGGTTATTTGAGATTTTTTTATTGTCGAAAGAACTATTATACTTATCAAGCGTCTTTATTGAATGTCCCTGAGTTGAGCTGTCTGCTAAAGTTCAAGCACATCTAATTCACAGGGAAATGACGACTAATTTGACGTTAAAACCCACCAGTTGAATTTCCTTTGATGTTTCTTTGGTCCTCATTTTCTAACAGTTGGTAAATTATTGGGCTTGCGTCTAGAGTAGCTATTCGTGATCTCAAGGAGGTCTGTCATTTGATATTCGTTCTCCTAGCAGCTTGATTGTCGATTGAGGTTACATTATAAGCTGCTCCACATTTGGGTTGTTCATGCTTCGGACCGGCAATTCTCAAAAAAATCATTATCGTGGACTACCTTGTGAACTGCCTGGCCATTCTGCTTTTCCTTACATTCATAATGGATAAGGATAAAGGAAAGCAAGTAAAAGTAAGCATTTGCCGTTGATCAATCCCTTTTTGGGATGCGGCACGCATTCTACTTCCATTTGTACATTCGCAGTGGCGTTTGAATGCGATGTGGCCTATACAATGACTTGCGGGGGCCAGCCGATGTACAAGTCAGTGTTTTTATCCTCCCAGACAAGTCTGGTACCAATTAACCGACGACCCCAGGGGGATGGAAGGCAGACGATCACGACCCAGGATTGATCATGACGCCTCTCGCAGTGGAGTACGACGCCACATGCCGTCTAGCAGCCAGCCATCCTTACAACGGTACGTTATACTGGGCTTTCTTACATTCATCACCTCCTCTTCTAACTTACATATTGTTTTCTTGTAAGAGACTAGTCTGCTGACAATTCCCTGCGACTCTTATCTCATACAATAATTGTTTACTTATGTAATCTTCATGGATTCTGCCTGATTATTTCTCAACCTATTGACTCCATATCTTATTTTGCATTTGCATTTCCAAAATATTAGAAATGCCAAAACACGTACGAATACAAAAAAGGCTAAGAGATCATGTTTCATAGCATGCTAAAGCAACGCTCCAATTTGTTATGAAGCGTCAGTGCTATTCCTAGTCGAGAACCCGTCGTAATTAACGTGCATGTCAGACGAATCGTAGCACAATCGGTGATAAGAAATAGCTATATTTCACTTCAGGTTTTTCTCTTCCAGGCTCGCACTTCTCCCAAGAAGCTGTTTAATCGGTGCTCCCGAAGCGAATTAATATCGAGTTTGCTGCAATGACGTGAACAGCAATGTTATTTTGGACCTTTTTGCTCGTGTTTCCATTACTGGCTGATGCTTTCGACGAAGAAGAAGAAAACTGGTGAAGACGTTAATTTTCATTCTAAAAGGACACAGCTTCATGAGAAATATTCCCAAGCTAAAACAGTTATGTGGAAACTTAGAATGTCGATCGAACATTCTGCAGTTTCCAACGTCCAGGTGGCACGGTTCGGCTGAAATTTGATCAGATGTTGCTATGCCAATCCAAATCCCCCTTCGATTCAGGTGTGGGTGGTCCTTCTCCAAAACTATATTTCAAACCTTGCCAGAATTCTCTTAATACTATGTGCTCCCCGGAGCCTCAGCAGGCACCTAAATATTTTATAAACACAGAGGTCGCACACTAAGGATTATTTCAAAAAAATTCTTTTGAAATGAAATTTTGGTGCTCTCTGTGTTATACAATACTTCCAGGAATTGTTTAACGCTCTCATTACTCACTGAACTGAAGACAAGAGTTTCAACTTTTCAGTCCTTACGGTGTTTGTTCGCAGCACCTCCTCGAAACCTTAACGATAGGCCGCCTTGGAAGCGGTTATGCACTGCGGGGACGACTGTCATCATCGGTAACTCCGTTTGTCGCTGCATACCAACTCACTTTTCAACATTTTACTTGTTTATTGTAGACATCATCCTGCAATGATTACAACAACTCAATTCAACCCAGGCGGAGGACATGTGAAGGTCTCAGTTGAGGTACGAACGAAAGCGAAATTTTTTACAACAAGGCAGCGTTCAGCAAGAAAACATGTTATCTGACGACTGATTTCGGAGTACATAGTACAACAAACCAGTTGTTAGTGTAGACTTAGCAGCTTCAGAAAACGTGAGGATTTGATGGAAGCGGTCGGATGAGCTGAGAAAGGCTTTGAATGACCGAAACAGGAACCAAAAAAAAAAAAAAAACCAAATAAGACGCCACAGGATTGCGAGAGGTTCCTTTGGCAATTTACCTAAACTTTCTTATTGTCCGCCTAGCTGTTGCTATATTGAGCTCCAGGACCTTGGATGTGCGCTTAAGATTTGTTTGGTTCTTTTGAACAAAACTCTGCGCTATCGCAAGATACGGTGCGAACGAAGTATGAGTTTAGAGCCGCACTGCTTTTTGCTGAGAACGGGCTGAACACTAAGATGAAAAAGGAAGTCCAAGGCACATGGACAATTTCCCTGTTCTTGGAGTTCCTACCCCTCCTCGGCTCAGCCCCGAAGGATGCCCCCAGTACCTTGCGATAGCGTCTGAAACTCGAAACGAATCGTAAACGACTTTTGAGCTTCGACCCCTCCCCCTAAAGTTTATGCAAGAGGGGTTGAACAACCATGCTTGATGAACAAATTCAGTAGACTGAAGACAACGGTACAGAAAACAAGGGGAAACTCATCCAAACAACTGCACAATTTTGTGGAATTCAGAAAAATTCTAATGTTCTTCTTTGCCATCATCCAAGTAGAGGTCCTAGACATTTTGACGACATCGTCTTCCTGAAAAGACACGGTCCAACCAGACAAGAGCGGAACTGGACCAATCTGGGTGAGATATGGTTAGTAACCATAAGCACTCAGAAAACCATAACTGACCCAGAGCCGCTTTGTTCCGCTCTGGCGGTTGTGGCTGGGTCTTTGAGGAAGACGACTAGAGTCGAAACGTCGGGCTATCCATAAATTCTCCACAGGAAAACTTCGCTTGAAGAAAGCAGTAGAAATGATAACAGCGCCGAGGCTCTACGAAGAGAGAAAACGCAGAGTTTGTCAGGAAAACACCGATTCCTTGTATGCTAAACAGTCTCTGTTAAGCGCATGCAGCTAGAAGCTAGTAGTTGTAGCGCAATGTAATTATCTATAGATCTGGGTTCAAGAAGTGTCGAAGATCATCGAGATCACATCAGAGTTCGAACTGGACATCTACGTAACGGAGCGATGGACTGATCCAGCTCTTGCTTACGCTCATCGCTGAAACCCATGCAAAAGGTATGATCCTGGGGCACCAGTGTCTGAGGATTATTGACTGTTTTTACCAAAGGTTTCTTATCCTTCTCACAAATTCTTCCTGGACGAAGTATAATTGGAACGGACGTTTTAGCTCACACTTGCACGGCTTGTATTCGTTTCATTTGCCGCCATTAGCATAATTCAGTTCTGGCTTTCACAAAAAGAAACAGCTGACTTCAAATTCCACTAAGCTGGGGAAAGTATTCTTCTTTCCATAAATTAAAAATTCAGTATTATTTTCACATTCATGATAGAAAATGTTGCTTTGCTGCTTCAAATTTGCCATCCCCCCGTCCTTTCTGAAATATCGAGGGTAGTGGGACCCTCACTGTGCTTGAATACGTTACTTTACGTAGATCTGAGGACCTCATTCCAAGGGAGTTCTTGTATTGCCTTCATTTTGAGAACCGACAACTTTCATGTTTTCTTTCAGCAATATGTCTGTTGACGGTCGTACAATCCTCGAGAAGATTTGGAATCCACATGCGTGCTTTGTGAACAGCAAGTTGGCGAACATCCATTCGAGCCCATTTAAGAGAAACATTTTCGGCTGCAGATCTTAATACCCCAAGTTAACCGGTTTTTTAAGCATTTGGTACAACTACCGTATCAAGCTCACTGGACCATGCTCAAACACATTGAGGTTCGCTGATTGTAATGTTGACTGATAACACTTTGGGGAGAAATCCTGTTATAGGGGGGGGGGCACTGCATTTGTGTTCTTCATTTAAAGGACGAATTCACGCTGGGAAGGCAACCCATTTCCAAATTAACTCAGGGACGGTGATTGGTACACGAAAGAAGGAAGAACCATGAGAAACGGCCCAGAACCCGAGAAATGGGACCCCTTCATTCGCCCGTTGATTTGAGCATTGATGCGACTATCATCGCTGTGCCCTCTTCAACGCTACGCTCTCTCTATCTAATCACTCACCACGTATAGATCTGCGGCGAGTGATCAGCTGGTCGGTGGGCGGAGATCGCCAGACCCGCCAACTTTGAGGCATAATAGGTCGCCGAGGTCAAATTTTTCGATGCGAATTGCGCATCAGTTCGCACCCTCAGGAGGTCCGTGGGTTACTCAACTAGGTGAATTACTTCTTCCTCGACCTCCATTCTAATCGTAAAATCCTCCTTTAAAGAAAGGGCTGGAGCGCGATCAGATCGGCACCAGTAATAGAGCATTTAAGTTGTGAACTTTTGTTGAGTATGAATGCACTGTAGGAGTACTCCTGAGGTGCGGTCTGCAATTGTTCAGGGAAACGGTCCTAAATCAGAGGAATAATGAGCTTTGCTTTGGCCTAAGGGTGAGTGAGCTCCAGAGGGATGACCCGCTGCGCAAAATTGGATAGGATGTGGGGTGTGGAAAGTAGGACATCCACCGGTCTTTATAAAAGTGCACTCTAATGGTCGTCTCCGCTAATGCTATCTTATGCCTTAGTCTACGGTCAAAGAGAGCCCGAAGGAGTGCTCTCCGAGACTAGTGTTGAAGGCAAACCCCAGGATTTGAGCGATTAGTAGGAGTGATACGAGAAAAATTGTAAGGTCCGTACCTACTTAGATCACTCCAGCTTCTCACAAAAAAGTGCGGTTAGGGCGCTAATCCTTACGGGTCTGCAACAATCTACCCTCGGTTCCACCCACCCGGGAGATGTGAGATCAGCGTGCTCTGTCAAACGACGTGCTCTCTCGTCGCGTTTTCGTCTTCTTTGATCGCCCTTTCTCGCCATCGTACCACATCCGACCTTACTGAAGGTTGAGGCCTTACCATCAGCGTTTCCCAAGGATTTCTCTTGCTTTCCTCTTCCACTTTCAGGTCGTCCGC